TAATAGCTCAATTATCTAATATCATCTACAAATAAAATATTGTATGAGGTATTTTTGAATGTATCGTATCAAAATAAAAATGATATTTATCTATTATCTGCATGCAAAAGTTTACAAGAATACAATCCAAAAGTACTAAACTAACATGTAAAAAATCATTAGCCATTACATTTCCCCGAATGATACAAGTAACACTTAATATTTATTATGAAAATTCCCGAAACTATTGAATCCAAACAAAACCGAAAATCCAATTGGGCACACCATTTAACTTGGCCCTAATCAGTAAATTAAACAAAACAATGGTGGCATTGAATGAGGTTTTGTTATAATTCCTGTTTTAAATGAAGACGAAAATGAAAGGCTTATTCAAGTTCCTATTAATCTGGTTGTTTAAATTTGTAAACAAAACTCCGCGGTAGTGATGTTCGGTACCAGTTTTTTGTACTTAAATAATGTAGTACTCTTTATGGTAAGGATTTGGTATAAGGCCGGTCTCTGACTCTAAATCAGATTTTTAATCAGAATGCTTATATAAGGTTTCAAATATTCAATGGACTCCGAACGTCTATAAATTTGGCATGGCTGTTTGAACTATGTTTTATTGAAATTATAAGTTATTTATGATTATAAAAGATACTGTTTAAAATCATATATTTTAATAAAGGAAGACAAGTCAGTATCATGATTATGTACCAATATAACCTCTGTTACGAAAACGGGACGAAACACCATCAAATACGAATAGAAAGCCAATTTAAAATATTTGTATTGAGAATAGTCATTTCTTGTATGGGAGTAGATGGATGCTGTGGAACTAGCAGCATAATAATTTGACGTTATCCGAATTATTGAACATTAGTTCTCGAATACTTAAGTATTACTAGTCCACACTCGAGCCATTACCTTAGCACATTACTACACGAAGGCAAAGTCAGTGATACAGACAATTGTGTACATTGAATAAACTTTACGTCAGAGCCTTTTCACGGCTCACGGGTCACGTCATGAATTCGCTTCTGTCTGATAGAACTTGCACAAAAGTAGAAAAAAAGGCAAACGCATATCGGATTTTCCATCGAACGAGAGCTTTAGCTACAAAAAGCTCCAGTTTTTCCGAAGTCTGTATTTATAAAGAAACCCGATGATGAACAGACTCTAGAAATAATAAGAGCAATATTAAATTCTGTATTTTAATAGACACTTCAAGGAGGAAGTCGTGAAAATATAAAAGTTCTTCCAAATCGGTATTTTACAAAAGAAAAACCAACGCTTGCTTCATTATTATTCATTCTGTCGTCGTATAACAAGCTAAGAGTGGATTCATCAAATCAGTAAAAGTAGCTTCCTCAAATTCTAATATTAGTGTAAGTGAAGTCTTTTAAAATATATTTTCAGGTTTAATCATGTTTTCTTTGTAGGTAGGCAAAGCTCATTTCGGTTTATTCAAATTTATAATGAGAATAATGTGTAAAATAAAATTATATATTACACATTATAAGAAAACTAATTTGTATCTTAAAGGAAGTGTAGTACAGTGAAGGAAAATAAAGTTTTATAACAACTGATTATATTTGGTCTGTTTCGCATTCACAGTGTTACATTGATATTTTCCCTAAAAGAGAAACTCTTAAAAATTCACCAGCCAAGTGCTCGAGATGGGATACATCATCTCGGGCACTTGTGACTAGTGATTATGTCATCTAAATAATATTTTCGAGGCTATCATTATTAAGGGACTTCTGCAGTATATCCATAATAGCGCCGAAAATGAAAATTTTATTTATTTTATTAACTTAAATACACATTTTTTTTTGTTATATAACCTGGCCAGATGTTGATTCTGCCTGGAACATACCTAGCAGTAAATGCTAAATATCGTAGCACAAACAAAAACAAGTACTTTTCGGTTACCTATCAAAATCAAAATTATTTATTCAGTTTAGGCTGTTACAATCACTAGTGAAAGTCGAGAGCTACGCCATCGGTTCGTAAATCTACCTTGTACCTGTAATGGGGATAACGACGAGGAATCGCAAGAATTTTTTGTGGAGCTCAATCGGTCTTTGGACTGAATTTCCAAATAATTTGGTTCAATTCAATGCCAAGAAGCAACGGTATGTGTTCTATCATCTGGACCTCTTTCTTCCCTCTTTCCACTCTTCAAGGCGAGGCTAGAGTCTCACAATAAAATACAGCAATAAAATTCTGGACATAGATATTCGCAGAATTTAGAGACGATAACGAAGGCCATAATCTTGACGCATTTCGCAGAATCGGAATATTGAACAAAGTGCACCAGTTTTCACATTGGACATGTAACAATGTTACTGTTCGCAGCTTTTGTGGCAAATAAAGATTTTATTTATCATTTGTATGCAATAGACAAGGTGAAGAGACGTGATGCATGCTTCATAGATAATGAGGTACGAACTAAACGTCTTGAACCGCTGCAAACGATGCGAGCTAGTGCCTCACTCATATTCTATCGTCTCTATCAAGGCGAATGCTGAGGGTTATTTAATATTATTCTCGTTTTTCTTCCGTAATAATCTAATGTGCGCTAGTGTCAAAGGTCAAAAGTAGGAAAAATCAACGGTCATATATAAAATAGATATAGATAGGAAGGGAAGCAAAGACGTATGTAAAATCTACCTCGCTAGGAATCTAGTGTGAATATGGGATGCCATATTATAGAATAGGTAAGTGAAAATACACAAATAAATGTCTTCTAAAGAAAATGAAAATTATTTTGTTTCACGCAAATTGTCACCTGTACTGTTCTATTTGAAACTAAATTGGTTAAATTGGTTAAAGTTGGATTGGTCATTGTCCTTTTTATTTTTCTACATTCTATTTTTACCAAATAAGTATATAAAGGTCTGGCGAAAACTTCTAACAAATTGTCATTGATAGATACTGCAAGGGACTTTCAAACACTCGTAACAGTAAGTTTACTTAACACGTCTTTGTGTGGAATGTGGACAATAGAATAGTTCATGTAGAACTAACAAGATATGTATAGAGTTCTACATCGTTTCAGTTGAGACAAATGCTTAAAATATTGCATAGCCGATGAAATATCTTATTAAATATCCATGAAATAGCTTGGATATGTTATTTCGACGGAAGTGATTCATACATTTTAGATTCATAATTACTTAAATATATTTTCATGGATTTATATTTATTCTATAGTGTTTGAATAATTAAATGGCAAAATTGTGTTTTAATTTCATAAATAGTACGTGTGCTTGTCTTTCTTACACGTTACAACGAGATTTCACTCTGGTGTGATCTGGTAAGGTATCGTGGTCTTTGGATTGGATAGGTTTCTTCATTTAACTATTAAAATGTTTATAATTACTATTGTAAATATTTTGACCTATAATGCTGTAAGGGTATCTAGCCACTTGCCATACTTCTTTATAACAAACCATTTATTAATTCTCAATTAAGTAATTTATTTCTGGATGCCCCGATGTATTCTCCGTATATACTGTATCTAACTGTAATGAACGTTCTATCCGTGTCGATTGTGAAACTCAGTTGCCATGGTGGGCAAAAGGTTTTGATTGAATTAATGCCAACCAAATCTAAGCCAACCTCGCTAGACCTGCTGTAGATGAACATGTACTACGTTTTTACTTGCGGTTTTGTTCACATAACATAATTTTAAACACAAATTTTTATTTGTTTAAATTAAATAATCAACTGGAGATGAATTTATTTTGGATTAATAAACAAACCCATGCTTAAATCATTTACTAATTAAGGATTGTCTTTACACGCATGAACAACTACTAATTTAGAATATGCGATTGCATTTTACTTAGCACGAATAAAACTTAAATACAATTAATAAAATATGTTTCAAAATGTAAATGTTTTTGGCGACAAATCTGTAGATGATAATAATAACGGTAATAAAATTGAATAAGCCAGTACCAATTGTTATATTAAAATAGAAATTGGTGTGCAAAACACATTCTGCATATTTTTGAAAAATATAATTTTCAAAGGCGCGCATGTGGATGCGAGCATGAATAAAACATAAAGCTGGTCTGTAAGGCAAATCTAGAGATGCACTCTCGATAAAACATACGGAAGCGTGATCGAAATAAATATGACCCACTTCCAATGCGGTTGCACACACTTACATTAGAGTGTCACAGTAAAGATCTTATCTTACGATGGCATCCATACCAGTGTAAACTATTTGGTGGAACGAAAAATTATGCTTACACTATCAAATATTGGTTCACGTTTTAGTAACAAAGATTAGTAGGTACACTGACGTAATTTTGTTCATGTTAAATGTGTATCATTATGCTTTTTGCTGTATTTCAAGAAAAAAATATAATTTCGATTGACCTTCAGTAGACAGGAGAAGAAAGTGAATTTACGCAATCCATTTTTTATATTTGTTTTTTAAATTGTGCACTGTTAAATAAACCGGCATATTACCGTTATTCTCTTTCTCAACAATATCCTTTTAATATTAATGTAGGTGATTGAGAGATTATTCTACACATCAAATAGTTGATGGTAAAGTTTCGGCATTGCTATATTAATTAATAGTTTGATGCATACTAGTGGACCAGGAAAACTTTGTTCCGCCCAAGAAATTTGAATGTAAATAATTAAAAACTTTTTCAAATCACTATTTTCACAAATTTTTTGAGTCTTTTATAGTTATTGTTTTTGTTGATAAAATATAATATTTTAATACTTATTAACCTATTCCCGATGAAGACAAATTCAAAAACAAAAATATCATAAAATCGGTCCAGCCATTCTCGAGTTATAAATGGTGTAAATAACACAACTTTCTTTTATATAAGATTAAATATTACAATTAAAATGTGTATAACGGCTAAATATAGATGTTATTTCACTTAACATTTCGGATAATCACTAAAATCTGGATCCTCCATAATTAGTTCGATATTCCACTTTATTAGCCAAACATTCGTTATTATATTATAACGTTATAATTTCTATATGTTATGATATATTTTTTGAAATATTACAATATTTACCTTGACATGTCTTCCGTGAGCAGAGAAGAATCTGCTATCAGCACTATATGTTACGAGACCGACTGACAGAAGTGAGTAGTCTTTCTTTCTTATCCATGTCACCTGAAGAAAGAAAAAATATAACAGCAAAGGGTCTTTCTATCTTGTAAAACCAAATTTCAATAATTTTGAGACATTCTTATAATTATTTTGTAACAACTCTAGTCAATTTATGCATCATTTATATCATAATGATTATTGACTACGTAGTCGTATGATTTCAAACGACATCATTATTGATATTTCAGTGCACTCTTTTCGTTGAAACATTTAGATGCATGGAACTTGACTAAAACAGCAAAATGGCATCACCAAGTAATACCAACTTAAAGTTAACAGGTTTTTTCGACCACTTTCAAGATCTAAATAGGCACATTTATACTGCTAAACGAAAAAGATCATATTTCATGTGTCTTCGAAATACAAAAAGCAATATTGAGTAGGAAACTTTTCCGTCCAGATGGGCCGATTTTATGACGGAAATTTTCGTAATTATCGTATGAAACTAAATTTCGAACATTCGCCAAAAGTTTTGCAATGCCTTGGGGCTTTGTGAACTTTCATATTTTCCAATCGATTTGTAAAATAATTTTCCTGAGTGATTGTGCTTAGATTTAGCCATCTACAATAATTCATACAATATGATATTGAATAAAATGTATATCGTTATTGGAAAGTGGTGTTAAAAATTCATTAAAACTTTTAAAATCAAATACAACGATATTTCATTTATATTGAACGTTAGTTTATTATTGTTTTACTGGACAAGCGCTAGTATTCTAATTTGATTATTTTTATAACAATAAAAATAAGGGTTAATAAGGGGTTCCTGATAAGAGAATATTAATGTGAACGGAACTGGTTATTTTTAGTTACATTCATTTTAAATCAAACAGTGATCCATTTTTATTTATTAAATCATTCAAAAGTGTTCAGAAACCTAAAATAAACCAGTACGGTGATTATCATTAATTAAACATGGTGCCATGTTAACAATGAAAACGTTTCACCATAAATACAGAGTACAGTCACGCATCTATGTTTGATTTAAAATTTTAAGGCGCTCATATTAGAGTTTACAATTGGTTTGTATATCGTACAAATATTCTAAAAAATTAACGTACCGTATTTTCTGTGATATCACTAACTTCACAGTGTAGAATAGCTGTAGTGCCTATTTGAGCTATAACTGTTGTACAATTTTCAGTCAAAAATATACCATTCTTTCCACCTTTACCACTTAATTTATTAGCAACAGAACTTGCTGAATCTCTATACATTTTCTTAACTTTATTCATAGACTTTGACATTGAGTTCTCATCTAATCCTTTCACTATCTCTCTGTCTAGTCTATGTCTAGTGTGATATTTTTCTCTACCTACTATTTCATGAACTTTATCAAGAATATTATCTATACTATGTACATCTTGATCATAATCATTATTTAACAGTGCTGCTGATAAACGAAGAGGTTTTGGTAGTTTCGGGTGAATTCCATGAGTACTGATAACATAATCTGTAGTTGTTTGGAGAGCTTCTGTTGGGTCATCGTCATTTTCAACTGTTGTGTAGACGAGCGTTGTTTGAGTTGTTGACGTAGTGGTTCTTCTCCTGTGACCTATAAAAATATTGAAATATATTACTAAAATATTTGTTTCTTTGTAGGTTTTTAGGTATTTGAATAGTTGTCCACACATATTAATAAATACCGTTTATAATGTGTACTACAATTTCAAGCAATAAATTTACCAGCGAAAGATTTGGTAGTGTAGTTAGCATAACATGAAAGGAACATCAATTTACGCCACGGTATAGTCAGTGGCTTGGCAATTAATAATGAACACAAAACCTTGAAACACTTGTTTGGAACAGATTCGAATTGAAAATCTCTATCTTAATTGCGTATTCTATGTGAGTATATAATTATTTCAAATATAATAACAGGAATGCGAACATAAGATCCGATTTATCAGAATTATCAACTCGAAATCAAATTGAAAGTATTATTGAGTATTATTATATATATTATCTCACAGTGAGATTTTACACATACTAAAACGATACTCATTCACCAGAAAAATGCAAGATATTATTAACAGTTTTGATACTACAAATTTAGTTTTAAACCATACGTCATTCTTTGTATACGCCAAGGTTTCAAAATGCTTCGATACAGTGCATATAAATTAAACAGAACGGTTATATCACTAAGGTTTTAATTACAAGGTTAATGTAGGATTATATTATTAAGGTTTAAATAATTATTTACTTATATTGCACAATAAGGGTAATTATTGATTATTTTATCGTACGACATTTAAATTTTCCTCAACACATATCTCACGAATAATGATCTAATATAATGATTATTATGAATAATTTATCTAAAATTTTATTTCATAGTAATTAAACTCAAGATTTTCAAATCACGAGCTATTTCTAATTTGTATAATGTATACAGGTCGTTATTTAGTGAATGGAACCATAACCTACATTCAATTTAATTTATCTAGTACTAGCTTTCCACCAGCGGCTTCGCCCGCGTGGTCTTGTATTATACACAAAAACCTTTCTTTTGAATCACCCTATCTATAAAAAAAACCGCATTAAAATCCGTTGCGTAGTTTTAAAGATTTAAGCATACAAAAGGAACATAGGGACAGAGGAAGCAACTTTGTTTTATACTATGTAGTTATTTAAAGAGTAAGAAGTTAGAAGAATTGAGGTACCTTTTTTATGATGTCTTGTGAAATTCCCAAATACGCTTCCCAGCCTTTGCTGATTCCTCGAAGTGCACAGATCCAACGATTTCAAATCGTCAGCATTCTGTGCGACCAATATGGAAGACCTTTTCGACTCCATGGCACCCGTGTTCACTAACAACTCCGCTTCGAGCAATAGGACGACAGTGGCATAGAGTAGTTTCAGTTCTTTACAGAAAAACATTGTTTTGGCACTGTCAAGCGTCACATTTGAAAGATTTGTTCATTTTCACTCAAATTTATAGTCATGTTTTTTGAGTGATGTTATCTGCTTGGGCACGTTGCGAGTGAGATTGACTTTTGATGGAGCATTCTGGAAAGACGAAAGATCATTAATAGTCATATATCCGAATTTAATGTTTTTCTAACAGTAAAATCAATTACTATTCCATTATGACATAGATCATTACAAAAGTTAATGGCATCAGTACAATATATAACTTTAGTGTGACGATTAGTGTCTTTAAATGGTATCGTCGATTATATTCTAAATTCAATACATAAGGTAGATTAATTTTTATTTAAGTATTCTCATAATAAGAACTTGAAAATAAGATTTATTTTGAACGCGCTTAAAATAAGAAACATATTTTTTTGCAGTAAATCTACATTTGTTCTAATATTAAATAGTGGTAGTTTCTAACTTCGTTTTTAGAGTTTCATGAAAATTATTTCACCCTGGCAGCAACATCGTACGCTAGTGACATTGACTATAGTATACAGCGAGTATAAGATATTATACAAATAAAAGTCGGTAGTACTTTATGCTAATTATAATAGAGTTATGCTTGACTAAAAGTGATGTTTTCAAATTTTTTCCCATCCACTTTTTAAGCAAGCAAAGGTATTGTTGAAAATTTAAATACTTAACAATTTCCTCGTGAAATCTGTTCGTGACACAGACGAGTAATTAATAAAATTCCAACTCATGTTCATTTTCAATCTGTTATCTGAAACTTCGATTAGCGTGAGACGAACTTAATCGTTTTGTTAAAACCCGATTGAAAGCCCGGGAACAGCCGGAAATTTCGGGTCGACCCGACCCTAATAATTGAGGCTTACTTAAGGGAAATCATTATTTCAGCAAATTTGGTGCAGGGTGCAGTAGTCAGTCAGTCAGGCCGATGATTACTATCGTCACCCTAAATATTAGATATATCTAGGGCCCCGGTAGTAATATCTTAATCTGAACATGTAATGTTTATATATATCAAATCTCATAAATTTTATTGTTAAAATAAAATAATCTCTTTAATTGGCTACTCATGAATATTGTTTGATACTTTATTTTAGATCTTAATAAAAAAATCTCCGAAAGAATTTACAAACACAAAGGTTATGTTTTAAAGTAATTGGAACTGCAGCTATTGATTAATATGACCGTTTCTAAACAGTGAAGTAGTTTAAAATTATTAACTCTAGACTTTATTTTAGATTGAATCGATAAACTACTAGGGCGCCATGAAGGCCTCGGTGGAATCAAGCCTTGACTTACTCGAAAGCTTCAATTTATATCTGCTACTTCGAACCGTTTACCTGTTTTTTACTTATATTATAGCTGATAAAAGACTATTATTATACTCGGAGAATATAAGAAAGTTGCAGTGGTTTAGTCTGCGATTTAGAAGTTAAGGAACTTTTGCAAAAGTCTGTCATTGGATGGGTGAACAAAAATTTATCATCTCAAGCTTATCTTGAGCTTTCGAAGGCTTGTAAGCACTTTGTTCTGGTTTCACCCACAGTCACCAATCCACACTGAACCAAAGTGGTGGATTATAGTCCACTTCCTTATTTAATTCGATTCCATCTATAGAGAAGGCCTATGCTCCACTAATGGGAACATTAATAGTTCATTTTTCATTTCATGATATTGAATAAAAAATTAGACGAAGATACAAACATATAAATCCGTAATAAGTTAATTTTACACAAATCAACACAAAACTGAATAACTACAATCACAGAAAGTTATTTCTTAATGGCAAAACGTAAACTACTGTCTCACTCTCTTTATAAACAAACTTGATAAATACAATAAACACAATTCAAACTCGACATTGTGCTTTAATAAATATTTTCATAGCAAAATTTGTATCTCAGCATAATTTCGAATTATGTATTTTCCTGATAGTCGAAATCTTAACAAGCTTCAAAGATTATTTGGAATCGAATTCGCATGAGTTGACTTGGATGAGTTTATTGAATCAGCGAAATATATGTGAATAACCTAAAAACATCCTTGAACTCGTCGATTAGCTCAGTGTTGCAATATTAAATAAAACCTACTTCAAAAGGAAATAAAGATCTTATTTCATTGAAGCTCTATGACGTGACAACGTTGCGATCGACGACGACTTAAAGACTGGTTTTTAGCAGAATTGTAGCAGCTAATAACAATAGCTAGAAGTTATTATTGGTCGTATAATTGTCTATATTGAAGACACGCACACAGTTGGTGGATAATATTTTTTATTATAAGAGATTTTATATACAATGACAGCTACCAAAAAGAATAAATAGTAAAAATACAAATTCAAAAAGTATAAAATCATAAAATATATAAAAAACTATTTATATAAGCCGATGGCCAGGTGTCTGTCGTCCACAGTCTAAATTCGATCATAACGTTTAAAAATTTACAGTATTAGCTTTCCGACAGAGACTTCGAACGCGTGGTCCCTAGTGAACTGTTTTTTGGATATCGATTCATATCATGATATGGATATAATTACATTGACAAATTGAATAGAAAACAATGGTTACTATGGCAACGTTTTAATTCCTCATACGAACTTCCACTTCCATTTTCATCCCTTTATTTACTGTTTGGATAAATTATAGCGTTGGCGTATGTTCACCTACATATGACGTAAGTTCCCGCAGGTGAAAGAATTTTTAAAATCGGTTCAATAACTTTCCTCTTTATAGTATTATCTTAAATGGTATAGTAAATAAGTATAGATTAGGCAAACAAAACTATAAACGTATGGTAGAGTACTTAAACTTTTTCATGAATTTTCGTGTCATAAGCCAAAATGTAATATTTAGAGAGCACTGACTCCTGACATACAAGGCAACCTAATTTGGGAGACAGGGCAAATCGATTTATTACGCTATTTAGTTACTCAATAAAGAATTATTATTATTATTTATTATAATATTGGTATTTTAGGCATTATAATTACGGACCACGCTTAGTGGGTAGGCCCTTGCCAGCTGGACCAACAATCACATAAAGGTTGCGGGCTACGCAGGACAGGTCGGCATCGAGATCTATGGGCAAGGATAGTTCAGCTGTAGGCGTCGTACGCCTGATGATGACGACGATGAAGCATAATTACAAAAAAATATCAGCCTCGTGCAGTTCTTGTCCATTTAGATTTTAACTATACCAAATTAAATGCTCCATCAATGTAATTTCCTTAAAAATAGCTCGAAAGGTTTTCTTTCTCGATAATAAATGCTGGATATTATAAGCAAGTAAGTGTAAAGTTTTAAAAAGAAAAAACCTTTTTAATATTTAAAAATGATATCAAAGTCGTCATCCAGTAATATTAAAAAGAATAAAACTGAGACCGCAACATTTTTTTTGTACAATGCATTGAGATAGCCAAAATTTATTTTATTATTTACAATGTCTTGTAAAAAACTAATTATTCATAACACATATAATACTCATATAATACCTATAACAGTTTTTTTTACAAATTAAAACTTAAAAGAATTACATATTGGTAAATTCATCATCATCGCTCAATGAAAAAAACGAAATTGCAAAATTATAATTAAATAAGATAGAAAATGAACTATCTATGTTCTTAATGAAAAAATATTTTCTGTATTTCTTCGTTGTTTCTGTTTTTCATAATTCAAGAGCTTTACTTAGCTAAAGAGCTAAGAAATATACGTGATGTCTAATAATTATTATAGGTATTCGGTATAAAATAAATATGACCAATGTAATATTATTTAAAGTCAATTGGACTCTATTATAATTACCTATGACGTGTCTTTTCGTTTTCGGAAGTTAAGCAACTTTTTGAGAAGGCCGGACATAAGATGGCTGATCAAAAAGGTATCATCTCAAACTCCTCCGTGCTTTGGAAGGCACGTTAAGCCGTTGGTCCCAGTTGTATGTGCAGTCGTTAACACCCACCAATCCACATTATACCCGCGTGATTGGATTCCATTCATAAGAAGGCCCGTACTCTAGCAGTGGGGATATTAATTAGCTGACAATGAAGATGAAGAATTAATGCAGTCTTAACAAGCTATTTCGACCACATAGAGTATATTACCTACTTTACAATATTAAATATACCTACACTTTATTGATTATATTACATACTAATAACTGGTACAAGTTGATTATTTCTGATTGTTCAGATCTATTTAGTGTGGCTTATTATTATTATTTTTTTTTTATCTTATTACTGAGGATATTTTCTGAGGACAGTGGCGCTGTATACTGAAATACAGGTATCAACCAAGTTCAGCAACAGATGATAAATAGATGTTAATGAAAAATATTTTAAGAATCACTGGTGTAAAAATTCGTTGTATCGATTATATAGTCAATAAAGATTATTATTACCAAGTGGATTTTTTAAGCATTGTGAATGCAAAATTAATCAAAAAATATTACTATGTGTTATGAATTGTTTTATCACCAACTAGCTGTTACCCGCGGTTTCGCCGACGTAGTCAGAAGGCACTGTGTGTACACTGGCCAGCTATACTCTTAAGTCTCAAGCTAATTTAAATAAAAAATCTGCAAATGAGCATCCACCAATATATCATTATCTTTAGCTTATCAACGTCCCCACTGCTGAGATATAGGCCTGTCCAACAAATGGAACCAATTATGGAAAATCTACCGATGTTTCTGTGTACAACGCACATGTCTTCACAGAATAGTCCAGTTGCTCTTCATTTGCATAAAATACAAACAAATGTTTTCTTTGAAAAAGAAGTCCATTTATTGAATAATTACTCTGTTATTTTGCTTGGACTACTGTTACTACTGTTTAAAACAGCCTGATGCTTTACTAGTGCAAGATTCTACGCCTGATATTTAAAGCAACTTGTCAGTCAACGGGCAGTTTGTTCTTGCTTTCTCAGTTCAACATTTTCAGAGATTTTAGTTCGTGACGCCAAATTAAATTTTGCCAACAGATATTCTGC